GAACCACCAACCTTCTGATTAGTGGCTGACCTGCTCTGCCACCTGCCACCCCATAAATAAAACTGAATTGAACTGAACTCAACTGAAATGCTGTAGCAGGACCTCAAGAGATCTGTGCATAAACAAAGGGCCTCAAAGCTCAAGAAAATGAAGCAACATTATAAAGACAGGTGGTCCAAAACTCCTCACCAACATTATGAGAGACTGATAAGCTGTACAGGCTATTGTTGCTAAAGGTGGCTCTACAATTCAAATTATGTTAGGATGGGAAGTTTCTTTTTCCCACCTGTAGGTCTAGACTCAGTCTGGTTAACAGTTAGATTAGCACCGCTTTTGCTTTAAACCTGTAATGTGTAACACAGTTAATCACTAAATACCACATGTTAGCTTTATGTTGTCTTTGCTGACTAAGATTCACTAGGTTTCTTCTTCAGTAAAGTTCACAATGGCTGTCTGGTCAGTTGGTGAAGAGGGGATATATTTTTTAAATGTCTAAATTATTGGGAATAAATAATTCCACTATGATGGTCATTATCTAGTAGAAACAACTGCAAGTAACGCTGTTCTTACAGACTCTCAAAGAAGGTGTGGAATTATTTCTTTAGAGGTAATAATGTGTTCCTCTTTTCCAGAGAAGACAGTTTAAATAAGTTTAACAGTTAATCATACTTTTTATGAATTCAGTTCCTTTGGTTACTGTTTGAACAGTGAATACAAATAGTTATTTGATTCATTTATTCGTGTGTGTGTGTACATACAGTGTCTCAAATTAATGTGTCATCTAATTACAGAGTTTTAAAATACCTTACAGCAAAGACAGAGAATAAATTTAAAAAATCTGTGGATGGTGGAAAAGATGGCTATGTTTCAGATGAGCTCTGTGATGGTTGACTGAGACTTTCAGTAACTCCCATGATGACAATACTGTTGAAGAGTGAACCCCCCCCACCCAAAACCCCCCAAAAGCCTAATAATCAAGTGCAAAGCAGTTAGCACAGCACTGAAAATCTGAACAAAGCTCGTGTAACTGAGCTCGTGTGACGGGAGACAGAGAAGCACGACTGGAGAAATAAAAATCAGAAACCACGCACGAGTGTTCAAGTCTTTCCTTGAGCGCCACAGAGTAACACACTTTGTGTTAAATAACAACTGCTAATATAGAGCCCCCTCTTGTGGTAATTATCTAGAAATGCAGGAGCTCATCAGCACCTATAGCTTTCAAAAATTCTTTAA